AACAAAAGCAACCAGTGTTCGTGTGTATGTGGCGAGAAGACCCTCCTTCACTGCTGGTAGGAATGCTGAATGGTTCAACCGTTTTGTAAAACTGTATGGACGATTTTCAAAAAATTAGAAATTGAGCTCCCATTTAACCCTGCAATACCACTCCTGGGAATATATCCCAGAGAGGCAAAAAAGTATAGTCGAAATGACGTCTGCACTGTGTGTTCATTGCGGCACTGTTTATAGTAGCGAGAATCTGGAAAAAACCTGAAATCCCGAGAACAGGTGACTGGTTAAAGAAACTTTGGTACATCTACACAATGGATTACTATGTAGCTGTTAGAAAAGATGAATTCATGAAATTTATATGCAAGTGATACTACATGGAACGTATCATGCTAAGTGAAATGAGTCAGAAAGAGAGGGATAGACATAGAAAGATTGCATTCATCTGGAGAATATGAAGTAACAAAATAGGAGACTAATACCCAAGAATAGTGGAGATAAGTACCAGGACGTTTACTCCATGGCTTGGAGGCCAGCTGATCATGCTAGGGGAAAAGGCAGTTCAGATAGGGAAGGGAGCACCAAATAAAGGGGTGCTGGGAGGATCCTTCCAGGATGACAGATGCGTGCTGAGTGTAGACTATAGACTGAACATGATTGTCACTCAATGCCTCTTTTGCAAACCACAGCACCCAAAAGGAGAGAACAAAAGGGAATGCCCTGCCACAGAGGCAGGGTGGGATGGGACGGCTGTGGGTAGGAGGGATACTGGGATCAGTGGTGTTGGAGAATGGGCACTGGTGGAGGGATGGGTATTCAATCATTGTATAACTGAAACCCAAGCACAAATATTTGTAAGTCTACAACTGTACCCCATGGAGTTTCACTAATAAAAATTAAAAAAGAAAATGGCTGGCAGTCAGGATCATATGCAGCTCAGAACCCAGTGTAAAGGCTGGCAGGCGGGCTGTGATGTCCAGCTTCCCTGCTCCTGTGTGACATGTCCCTGTCCTTTTGTGTTTGTATAGGGGAAGTTGAGAGGATGTTCTCACTTTGTGTTCCAGAAGGTCATACAGACCTATCCCTTTTGCAGATCTGAAGTTCTTGGGAGAAATTTAGTTATTTGTTCCATAAGACTGAAGAAGCTGAGTAGAAGGCTGAAATCTATAGATAGATGCGTTCCAAGAAGCCCTGCCTTAGATGCAGAAACACAAGCTTCCTCATCCTGTCCCAGGCTCCCTGCTCTCCAGGGGAAGGGTTAGAACCATCAGTGTGTCAGCTGGAAGCGGTGTGGGAAGCCTCCAGGCTCAGAATCTCAAGCTTGCAGGGTCTCTAGCCTGACCTCACAGGTCTTTAGCCTGGCTGCCTTGCAGAGAAGCTGCAGTAGCAGAGGACACTTAAGGAACCTGCTTGGGAGACCATGGCACTGTTGCCAACCTGAGCTGTTGTCAGTCCGTTCACTAGATTAGCTTCATCTCGGTATGCTTTCCTTGTTTAAGGCTTAGGAGAATTCTAGAGAAGACTCAGACTCTCTGAAGTAGACTACTTCCCTGCTTATGTGAGAAATGGGAAAGGAGTTACTTAATTTAATTAATTTGAGGATTTGAGGGCCCCTGCCCACAGTGCTCAGGGGTTGCTCTAAACTCCTGGCTCTCACAGGAAGCACATAAAAGATAAAAAAAGTAGCCCCAAATTCATGAGTTCTAGGAAATATTCATGGTTGATGTTATCAAAACACATTTTCCATCTGACCATAAATTTACTTAATGACCTAAATGAATTTGTCTGGAATTTGGGGATCCAACCTGGACCTTCTCCAAATAAAGGATAGGCTCAACCCAACCTGCCCATGGGAAAGGGCTATTTTAAGAACTTGGAAAATCTGGTGAGATTCCTGAAACCTTTGAATCTCACCCCTTCTGTACTATTTTTATTAGCATCTGTCTTCTCTTAGAATGATGAGCCAAAACGCACAAGAAAGGGCTTGTATGCCTGTTTCCACTGGCCAGAGAGCAAATGGCAATGAGATGGTTCTTCCTGCCTAGTGGGCATGATCCAGGGGACGGGTTGGAACAGCTCGTGGGCTGCAGCTCAAGAGCACGTGGAAAGAGCTGTGGTGGAGAGGGGCTGTGCAGGTCTGTGTGAGGAGCAAAGTGAGGGCAGAGGAATTAACTTTGATCTTAATAAACTGAAGTCTCATGCATGCATCAGTGCCCTGAATGTAGTTGGACTCTAATGCTAACATCAGCCAACAAATGTTTTAAAACATATCCTAATTTAAAAACGAAGTGAACTTCTTTTACCAAATTGTTATCACATTCCAGCTCTTGTACTCTGGGTAAGATTCTTGGATCAAGAAGAATTAATGTTGAATGGAATTTATAATTCAGATATCATAGTAAATAAGATTTGTATTTAACAATATGCTTCTATACATTAGTGTTTTTCTACTTTCTACTTTTTGGACAAGTTAGCCTTGTCTGCTGTACAGGAAAGCATTTTTTCCCTCCTGAGCTGGGAATTTGCTAAGCCTGTGTGATGAAAATTTTACCCCCAATACAGGCCTTTTATTTTTTATGAGGAAGCTAATTTACTCTTTTCAAACTGTGACATCCTGTTTATCAGAACAGAGACTTTAAAAAGTTTTTTTGAGTCTGAACTCACTTCTCTAGTCAACATCTTGGCGAGCAATGTGTTGAGTGAGTCATGACTATTTGGATGAAGATTTTCTGGTTTTGAAAGAGAAAGTACTTGGTAAAAAATGTGTTGGAGTTTTCATTGAGATGGAAACATCTGAAAAATGGAATTGGCTAGTAAGGCTACCATAAAAAATATTTCAACACACATTTCACAAGGCCCTTCTGTGAATATCTTGCCTTAACCATTGCAAGATACCTCCAGGACAATTTTTTCTTCCAGAAATCCCTGAGCACTGCTGGGTGTGATCCAAAACCCAGAAAGGGAAAAATAATGATCCCCTTCCCCTTCTCATTCAGTGTTTGCTGTATTTGTACAGTTTGTTCTCCATTTTTTAAAAAAAAAATTTATTAGTGAAACACCATGAGGTACAGTTGTAGACTTACAAATTTTTTGTGCTTGGGTTTCATTTATACAATGATCCAGTACCCATCCCTCCACCAGTACCCATTCTTCATCATTTACATTTTTTAAAAATTTTTGGGAGAAGCACGCTGAAAGTGGACTACAGACCAAACATGATTGCCACTCAATGTCTCTTTTGCAAACCACAACATGCAAAAGGAGAGAGAGAACAAAAGGGAATACCCTGCCACAGAGGCAGGGTGGGATGGGGGGATGGTGGGATGGGGGTGGGCGGGATACTGGGACCCGTGGTGGTGGATAATGTTCTCCATTTTTGTCCTCCATTTTTTGTTTTCAAATCGTAGCTGGTACTGCCAGAGATGGGCTAGAGCGATAGCACAGTGGTAGGGCGTTTGCCTTGCACACGACTGGCTGGCCAACCGGGGTTCAATTCCTCCACCCCTCTCGGAGAGCCCAGCAAACTACCGAAAGTATCTTGCATGCACATGAAAGCCTGGCAAGCTATCCATGACGTATTTGATAATGCCAAACACAGTAACAACAAGTCTCACAATGGAGATGTTACTGGTGCCCCCTTGAGCAAATTGATGAACAATGGGAGGACAGTGCTACAGTGCTATTGCAAAATAAACTTTAATAATAAAATGTTTACAATTCTGAAGGGCATTATTATTTACTTTGTATCTTATATTACTAAACATTGTAATTGATTCCATAGGGAAGTAGAAATTTGGTCTAATTTCACGATTTGCCTCATAGAAAACTAAGACCTCTTTATTTTGGGTTCTTTAATATTTAAAAATGCCATGTAGGCAGCTCAAGGTCTCATTTATACAGCGGTGTTAAACTTGGAATTTTAGATCCAGGGCTGAGGAGATAGAATAAGGGCTTAGAGCACAGACCGTGGGTGTGAGTTTGATCCCTACTGGGCCATAGGTTTGATTCCTGCTCTTCGAGGCCTCCCACACATCTCCGGCTCGGCCCTCCTAGCCCTCATGGTCCTCAACACTGCTGGTCCTCCTGGACATCATGGCCCCCAGCTCTGAACTTCAAGCCTGCAGCACTTGGCCAAGTATCACCTGTGTGAAACCCACCACTAGGAGGCCCTGCTATGCTACAGCTAGCTTTGAATGCATGTTTGCTATGTACTGGCTGTTGTGAATGTCTGGGTTGGATTTATGCGGATTGAGTACATCCATCCTCCCTCATTTCAGTCTTCCATCCATATGCATTCGACCTTGAAATCCTTTTCCTGCAACTTAATGTTCGGTCCATATGTAAAGATTCTGTTTCCTCATCACCTTTCTATCCCTTCAATGCTTGTATTCTGATTTGAATTAGGGTGGGACTCCACTCCACTAGGTTTTTCACTTACTTTGTGTTAAGCAAGGTGCTTGAGGAAGGAGATAGGCCACACTTACAGCTTTTCTGCTGCCCACTGGGACACTTGTTCTGTTTTGTTTAGTCGTTGTTATGAACTGTGCCTGACTCATCAATTCTACTTTGTTGTAGGACCCTGGAGAAGTCAGAGAATGTTTCATTAAGAAAAGCAGATTTCATGGGTTCTAGAAAAATCCACAGGATTGGAGAGAAATCACAGGGTTAACTCACCTACCTTGAACACAGTCCACCTTGATTTGATCTCCAGCACTATATAGAGTACCCTAAATAGCTCCGGGAGTGGTCCCTGAGCACAAAGTCAAGCGTCAGCCCTGAGCACTGCCAAGTGTGACCCAAGCCATCCCTCATAGCCACCCTCAAACAAGAAAAATATACAAAGATTTCAGGAATTCTAGATGGTGCAAATATTTGATTTCTTGTCAAATGATTTGCATATTGGCAAGTGCAAACCCAGATTTTCAGGAAGTTTTAAACCATGGGATAGTTGGGTCATTCTGGGCATTCAGACAGCGTGCTCCAGCGTGTTTTGTTTTCTCTTGCAGGAGGCTCAGATATTGAGTACCTAGACTTCTACAAGCCCGTGGTGTGGTTCTGGATTCTTGTTGGCCTGGCCTACTTTGCAGCTGTGCTGAGTATGATTGGAGACTGGCTGCGAGTGATCTCTAAGAAGACCAAGGAGGAGGTGAGTTGCACACTGCCTGCAGCGCAGGAAAGTCGGCTTACTTTCTCTTAATCTTTTTGATGTTTTTGGGTACTCTTTTTTTTTATTGCTTTTATTCATTTGACATTTGCATCTCAAACTACTTAAACTTTATAAAAAGGGGAGGGGAGATTCCCAAGGAGGCTTGGGTGGATCCCCCATCCCAGACCAATGATTCTTGGTCTGTCAGTTGGGCCAGGGGGTTAATGCAGGGGCACGAGGCTGCTCTGGCCCTCCCTTCCTTAGGCCACTCCCAGCGGCTCTGCCGGTCCTGTAGGGCTTCATCTGGCATTGCTTGGGCACCATGTGTTACCAGGAGGTAAACCCAGCTGGGGTACCCCTGTGCTGTCTCCTAGCCCCCAGTTTTGATGTTTAAGTTTTAAACATTAAACTTTAAAAACAATATAAATTGCAGTAACAGGTTTACAAAACTATGTAGTTTTTAGGGGCAAATTTGTCCATTTGTAAATATTTGATGTCACATTATATCTATCAGTGAAGTTTACTTCACATGTTTTATGTTTATAGTTGGTATGAATTTGCTTTTTAGGCTTTGGGGAAATATATATGTTACAATATATTTATTTCACAAGGATTTATTCAACCCTTCTAGATGCCAGATGCCAAGTAGGTTCATGCTGAGGCTAATTTGTTGTCAAAAACTTGTTTAAATAGTTTCTATATTGCTTATATTTTTTGGTTTTATTTCCTTCTTCAAGGGCTCCGAGTAACTTTTTTATAAGAAAAAAATACAATCAACCATGTTGGTGTCTAGATTTCAGTAGCACAGCTTAAGGGATATGTAATATAGTGCTAACTTTCGTGTTTATACAGTGAGTTTCTTTCATGTCTTGAAAGTGTGAAAGTGCACATGTATTTACATGTGCAGATACCCCAGTGCTGTAAGCACAATGACCAGTTTCCCTGTGTCCAGATTTCAACTGTTTGAAGCAAATGACTTCTTTATGTCATTTGTGCAGCTATATATGTAGAAAGAAATGTAAAAATTCTCACTCATAAGCTTTGGGAAAATTTGAAATTTCTCACTTGATCTTTAAATGTTATTGTTCAGGAATTGAATTTGTATCTTCTCATTCCAGAAGTATTAGTAGCTACAGTATGACAGAGTGACAGCTAATTATAAATTCTCTAGTTTTTGATTATAGGCAGAAGTCAGCCAACTTGGAACCATAATGTAAAAACCGTGCCCCATATTACCTTCTTTCTTCTTTTCAGTCTCTTTTCATTTTATTGAAATGAAAGAAGTGTCAGAATCTTTTGAAAAAATCCATGATGGACACAACAAACATTGATCCCTTAAACAGATGACTAAAGGAAGCTATAAGATAGGACGTGATCAGAAAAATTAATAAAATTAATTTATTTTTTCACTTTTCTGGAAACCCATTAGATTAATTATTGGTACCCTAGGTGTCATGTTTACTAGAGTATGAATTATCAAACACTTCTTTTCATGGATCTCTTTCTCAATAGGGAACTTAGGTAATCAGTCTGCCCACATTAATATATAGCCTCTCACACCAAAAAACCCACAGTATTTTTATATAAGCAAAAGGATAAGGCAGTCTACTTCACGTTATAGTTTAAATATTGGAAAAATTTCTGCCTTGAAAACAACTCTAGTTAATTGGGCTCAGTCTTTGTCTCTCTGTGAGTGTGTGTGTAAAAGAGTGATAAACATGCATACAGACACACAAACATTAAACAGAGTGTTTAGACTTTGGTATACTTTAAGGGTCTTGTGATGCTAAAAGAAAATAAATCATTATGAAGGAAATGTTTTATATAATGTAGATAAGAACTGCTAAACCGAATAAACACTTAACCATAGTGCAACTTTCAAACCCTAAAAAAAACACAAATATTGGGGTCAGGAGTTGTCAGTATATTCAACCCTATTCCATTGGTCTGCGGCTCTGCCTTTGTTCCAGTACCATGCTGTAAGGGAGCAAGAAATGTGAAGTGGAGCTAGGAAAGCCTCTTTAACAAATTGTGCTGGCAAAACTGGATAGCTACATGCAAAACAATGGTCTCAGATTCCTACCTAACACCATGTACAAAAGTAAGATAAAAATGGATTAAAGACCTCATAATCCATAAGGTACATTGAAGACAAGATTGGCAAAACCCTCCACGACATTGAAGCTAACGGTATCTTCAAAGATGACATGCCACTGGCCAAGCAAATGAAAACAGATAGACAAATAGAACTATCTTAAACTAAAAAGTTTCTGCACCTCAAAAGAAACACAGACCAAAATACAAAGACAGTCTACAGAATAGGAAAGGATAGTTGCCAAATAAGCATCTGATAAGGGGTTGATATCAAGGTTATACAAAGCACTGGTTGAACTCCACAAGAAGAAAACATCCAACCCCTTCAAAAAATGGGGTGATGAAATGAACAGAAACTTTCTCAAAGAAGAAATTTGAATGGCTAAAATGCACATGAGAAAATGCTCTAGATCATCAGGGAAATGCAGATCAGAACAACAATGAGATATCATTTCACAACACAGAGACTGGCTTACTTCCAAAAGAGCAAAAGCAACCAGTGTTGGCGTGAATGTGGGGAGAAAGGGACCCTCCTTCACTGTTGGTGGGAATACCGACTGGTTCCGCCCATTTGGAAAACAGTATGGACGATTCTCAAAAAATTAGAAATTGAGCTCCCATTTGGCCCAGCAATACCATTCCTGGGAATTTATCCTGGAGAGGCAAAAAAGTACAGTAGAAATGACATCTGCACTCGTATTTTCATTGCTGCACTGTTTACAATAGCCAAAATCTGGGGAAAAAAACCCAGTGCACAAGAACATATGACTGGTTAAAGAAACTTTGGTACATCTATGCAGCTGTTAGAAAAGATGAAGTCATGAAATTTGCATATATGTGGGTCAACATGGAAAATATCATGTTAAGTGAAATGAGAAAGAGAGGGACACATAGAAAGATTGCACTCATCTGTGAAATATAAAGTAACAGAATGGGAGATTAACTCCCAGTGGTAGTAGAGATAAGGACCAGGAGGTCTGCTCCACGGCTTGGAAACCAGCCTCACATGCTGGGGGAAAAGGCAATTCAGATGGAGAAAAAAAAACCAAGTAAAATATGTTGGGAGGACCCATTCAGATTGAAAGATGAATGCCGAAAGTAGATTATAGACCAAACACGATGGCCACACAATACCTCTATTCCAAACTACAACACCCAAAAGGAGAGAACAAAAGGGTATGCCCTGCCACAGAGGCGGTGTGGTGGGTGTGGGGTTAGGGTGGTGGGAAGGATATTTGGAACATTGGTGGAGGAGAATGGACACTGGAGAAGGGATGGGTAAACGATTATTGTGTGACTGAAATACGAAATTTCATAAGTTTGGAACTGTACCTCACGATGATTCGCTAATAAAATATAGAAAAGAAACATAAATCTTCAATTCTTAATAAAATAAGAAAAATGGAATATAAAAGAATATATCTCTCATAGAGAAACCATTGGGAAGAGTATTGTGAAATACACATAGGATATTTTAGGCATACTCCATATTACATAATAAAGTCATAAAAGCATTCTAAATATTGTTGTCTATCACAGTCAGAAACTTTGAAAGCCACTAAGACTCTGTAGACAAACAAAATTTTACATTCATGACATTTGTATCAAATATTTGATTAGAGCTTAGAAATCTATTTTATTCAAAACCCATGCTTTTAGGTGTTGGATTACTTGGTTCCAAGCATTAGAAGTCTAATCTGGAGTCCTAGGACAACCTGTGTGTTTGCCAGTTCTTGCCATCACCACAAAATACTGAATTGGGTGACTTCTTAGCAGAAGTTAATTTTTCACAATATGGAAGCTGAAGTCAAAGACAGTAGCTGGCGGCAGGGTGGGTTTCTGGGGAAAGCTCCCCACCTTGGTTGCCCACAGTACCTTCCTGCTGTGAGTTCAAGTCCATTCCCCTGCATGTTGCAGAGAGAACACATCAGAGCTCCTCCTTTGTGTAAGGACCCACAGTGATTTTGCAGTGAGACTTCACTTTCTGACCCCCATTCACGTGATCACTTCCTGAAAAGCCTGCCCCAGATAGAATCACATAGAAGGGAAGGAGGGGACATCTACCTTCTACATAAAATTTAGGGAACTCATGATCCAGATGCTAATATCATCCTTTTCAACAAATTTCAAATGTTACCAGTAACATTCAGATTGGATAAGAAAGATATGCTCTCTCTCACCATTCACAGAGAAATGATACTATACTTAGAGAACCCTAAAGTCTCTAACAAAAACTCCTAGACATAATATTTTTGTATAGTATAGTAGCAGGTCACAAAATCAATACACAGAAGTTCATGGCTTTCCTATATGCAAATAATGAAAGAGAAGAAAGTGATACTTAAATATAAATTTTAAAAAATACTTTTTAAAAAAAAGTCCTGTTCACAGTCGTGCCTCAGATAATCAAGTACATCAGAATTGGGTTAACTAAGGAGGTAAAGAACCTGTACAAAGAAAACTACAAAATGCTACTTCAATAAATAAAGAAGGACATGAGGAAATGGAGATACATCCTTCTGGTCATGAATTGGGAGAATTAACAATTGTCAAAATGGCAATACTCCCCAAAGCATTATACAGATTCAGTGAAGTTCCTATAAGGATATCCATGACATTTTTCCAAGAAATTGATCAAACATTGTTGAAATTCACATAGAACAATAAACTCCCATGAGTAGCTAAAGCAATTCTTGAGAAAAAAAAAAAGGACGGGAGGTATCACCTTTCCCAATGTAAAACTATATTACAAAGTATTAGTAATTAAAACATCGTGGCATTGGACTAAAAGCAGGCCTGCAGAACAATAGAATAGAGTTGAATATCCTGACATACACCCTCAAATATACAATCATTTAATATTTGATAAGGAATCAAGTAATATGAAGTGGAGCAAGGAAAGTCTC